GAGTATGAAGTTAATTATACAACATTAGTAAGTTCTTGAGATCTCCTGTACAGCACAGGGACTACAGTTAATAATGCTGTATTGTATACTTAAAAACTGGTTAAGAGGTTAGCCCTTAAGTGTTATTATCACAAACAAACAATCGCAATAATAATAAAGAGGGTGGAGGAAAGTTTTGGTGGTGCTGGATATGTTTATGCATTGATTGTTTTGATGGTTTCACAGATGTCCACTCATCTTCAAATTCATCAAGTCATATAAATTAAATATGTATAGCTTTTTCTTTGTCAATCACACCTCAATAAAGTGCTTTTAAAATTATTTTAAAATTTCCATTTCTACTGTGGCAGAAATATCACCATTATTGATTTATTTCTTCAAAATCTATTTCAAATTTTAAAATAAACAGCTTTGGGAACATAACATAATACTTTTGTTTCTAGATATTAACAGCCATTACGTGGAGAAAATTAGTTGGCTCCTGCCTAAAGAAAAATTCCCTGAGAAGAGTTCATTTCAGAATTAGACAAAGGGTACCAAGCATGATATATAATCCATGTGTTTCTCAGAATGTAATAGTGAAAAACATGATTGAATGAATGACACTGCTTTTGGAAGACAAGCCAATCTATGTAACCAAGACACAGGTTTTTAAATGGTCTGTATTAGCTTGAAGTCCCTTACTTTATGAGGGGCACTTGGCATTAGGGGGAAAGTATAAAGTGAGAGGTGCCAAAGACAACCATCACCTATTTTTTTTAAATGTGTCCTGATTTTGGTTTATGTGCTGCTCCTTGCTCAGTTAGATACCTCATATGCTCTGTGGTGGGATAAGGGAAGTGCTTTGTTAGGTTTTATTTTGCAAAGCTTTACTAAACAAACCTGGAAATCCATAGTATTATTATATAAGTTAGACTGCAGTAAAAATTACCTAGGATTGGGCTTCCCTGGTGGCGCAGTGGTTGAGAGTCTGCCTGCTAATGCAGGGGACACGGGTTTGAGCCCTGGTCTGGGAGGATCCCACATGCCACGGAGCAACTAGGCCCGTGTGCCACAACTACTGAGCCTGCGCGTCTGGAGCCTGTGCTCTGAAACAAGAGAGGCCGCGATAGTGAGAGGCCTGCGCACCGCGATGAAGAGTGGCCCCCGCTTGCCACAACTAGAGAAAGCCCTTGCACAGAAACAAAGACCCAACACAGCAAAAATAAATTAATTAATTAATAAACTCCTACTCCCAACATCTTAAAAAAAAAATTACCTAGGATTTATATACAAATCATAATGATTTCCATTGTGCAATCAATTGACAAGATTTTGAACAGTTCTCCACATGAGAACGAGCTGTATACGTCACACAGAAACTGAGATTACCTTATGGAGTTTCCAGTTCCAGCTCTCCAGGAAGAGCAATAAATGACACAAAATTGACAAACCTTGAGCTGCAATGAGCAAGAGAAAAAAACTCAACAAAATCAGATATTAAAGTGGAGACATTTCTAACATATTACGGAAATTAAAAAAATTGTAAGACAACACTATGAAAAACTGTTTACCAACAAACTAGATAGTTTGCATAAAATAGAGAATTGCCTGAAAGCACACAAAATACCAAAACTTACTCAAAAAGAAAGAGAAAAACTGAACAGACCTGTAACAAGCAAAAAGATTATATCAGTACTCAAAAGTCTCACCTAAAAAAATCCCAGGACCAGGGCTTCCCTGGTGGCGCAGTGGTTGAGAGTCCGCCTGCCGATGCAGGGGACACGGGTTCGTGCCCTGGTCCGGGAAGATGCCACATGCCGCGGAGTGGCTGGGCCCGTGAGCCATGGCCACTGAGCCTGCGCGTCCAGAGCCTGTGCTCCACAACGGGAGAGGCCACAACAGTGAGAGGCCTGCGTACCGCAAAAAAAAAAAAAAAAAGGGGCTTCCCTGGTGGCGCAGTGGTTAAGAATCCACCTGCCAATTCAGGGGACATGGATTCGAGCCCTGGTCTGGGAGGATCCCACATGCCGCGGAGCAACTAGGCCCGTGAGCCACAACTACTGAGGCTGTGCATCTGGAGCCTGTGCTCGGCAACAAGAGAGGCCGTGATAGTGAGAGGCCCACACACCGCGATGAAGAGTGGGTCCCGCTTGCCACAACTAGAGAAAGCCCTCGCACAGAAACGAAGACCCAACACAGCAAAAATAAATAAATAAACTATAAAAAAAATTTTAAAAAAAGATGAAAGAAAACATACTATTGATGCCAAGATCAGATGTCCAGAATATGCAAATCTATATGGGCAAAAAGTAGATTAGTGATTGCCTAGGGCCAGGGTTAGGGGTTAGGAATGGAGAGTGACTGCCATGGGCATGGGGTTTCTTTCTTTGAGGGTGATGAAAATGTTTTGAAATTGGGTTACCATAGTAATGGTTGCACAACTCCGTGAATATGCTAGAAACCACTGAATTGTACACTTTGAATAGATGAACTTTGTGATGTGTGAAACATCTCAATAAAGCTGTTAAAAAGAATATGCCAAGATGGGAATAAAGATGCAGACCTACCAGAGAATGGACTTGAGGATACGGGGAGGGGGAAGGGTAAGCTGGGCCAAAGTGAGAGAGTGGCATGGACATATATACACTACCAAACGTAAAATCGATAGCTAGTGGGAAGCAGCCACATAGCAGAGGGAGATCAGCTCGGTGCTTTGTGACCACCTAGAGGGGTGGGAGAGGGAGGGTGGGAGGGAGGGAGACGCAAGAGGGAAGAGATATGGGGACACATGTATATGTATAACTGATTCACTTTGTTATAAAGCAGGAACTGACACACCATTGTAAAGCAATTATACTCTAATAAAGATGTTAAAAAAAAAATGAATATGCCAGACAAAAGCAAGAAAAAAATTATACTATCTCACTTATGAACATCAACAGGAAATTCCTAAGTTGAATATTGGCAAAAGTTAATTCCGTTTTTACCCCTCTACCTAAGTAGGGTGATTTCAGGAATGTAACAATTCTTCAACACCAGAACACCTGTTTATATAATTTATTATTAAAAATCTAAACAATAAAAGCCATATGATTATTTCAATAAATTTATTTTTTATTCGACATGTATTTATTGCATGCGTATTATGTGATGGACACTACACATTAGTAAACAAAAGAGAAAAAGTCCGGATCCTCAATAGAAATAGTAAAAGCACTTGACAAAATTTCACACCAATTCTTAGGAAAATATTGTTAGAAGAAAACTCTTATAATAAGTTAAAGGTATTGATCAGAAACAGAACAATCATCCTTAATGCTGAAATATCAGAAGCATTCTTATTGATCCCAATAGAAAGATGCTTGTAGTAGAGGCCCTGGCCACTGCACTAATTATGCATAGTGCATAAAAATGAGATATACAAAAACTGCATAGAAAAAGAAAAAAATTGTTTTCCTTTATGTAAGATAAAATAATTAAAATGTAATTTAAAAAATCCAACAGTATATATAAACAAGCCATTAGAACTAGGAAGATAGTTCGACAAGATACAAGTTCAACAAGATACAAGATCTGTATACAAAATACCACAGCATTCCTAGAAATAACCAAGTAGTAAATGGAATTGGATTGTTAATTCACAATAGAAACAAACAGTGGAAGGTATCTGATAATATATCTAACAAAATTTGTGTGTGACCTTTAGCAAAATAATTTTAACCAGTGGCAACAGCAGATCGGCCTTGGTGAATGAAAATGTTGTTGAACCTTTGCATAACCACCACCTTGCCCAGCCATGGCCACACTCTTTGTGAATCCATGGACCAGAACTAGGCTCACCAGGAAGGAAAAGACTGGCACTCACATAATAGGCTATTCTACTCACAGAATTATTTCAGACTGCTTTGGCCCTCTGGTGAGAATTCATCCTACATATATTCTCTGTGTCTTGCTCATGATTCATACATTCAAAATACATTCATTGTGCAACAAGCATGTTTGAAACTATTTTAATATTCTTGAAAAAGCAGTGAAGATGCCAGAAAATGTCGTTGCTCTCTTTGAGTTTATATTCTCTGCTCCTGCGGAGTGCAAAGTGAAGGGGAGGAGGACAGTTGACAGTTGGTAAGTAAGTAAAAACTAAAAGGTAAGTTCAGAAAGAAATAATAATTAACTTTTGACCATGATCATTTTAATCCATATACCTCACCTAAGTCTCCTTCTCACCAGTGCTCTAATTGTGTTTCATGATCTAAAGGGCCTTTGTTGAAAAGCCCTTTGGTTTCTTCCTGGTGTTTATCAAAGGCCCTGTACAGTACTTGCTCTGTTGTTGATTCGCTCACATTCTGCCTTTTCTGCAGCACCACTAGAGCTCAGTGGCAGAGCCATTTGTCCAGCAGTGTGTACAAGCCAGGGAATCTTCTCTTGTTATGGGGGCCCCTCACAGCTGGAGATGGTGGGTCACTATGTAAATGGTTTGAAGCATGATAAACAGATGTTTTATCTGTAGTCTCTATTGGACACGTGTAGGTCAAATAAACAATTTCAAATATCCTAAGAGAGTGAATGGTCCAGCATTGACCCTGTGCTCACTCCTGTATCAGCCACTGTGCCAGGAAGAATGAGTGAATAATGAGAAGGGGAGGGGGGAGGATTTGGGGACACTGTGATTAACAGTCTCTCTGGGACCACACTGAACACACGGAGTTTAGTTACTGGAAGAATGGTAAAGATAGCCTAAGCAGACAATGTCTACCATATTGTGTGTAATAAATTAAATATTTTTGCAAGAAAAATTGCTAGACAAAATGTTTATCTATCCACCTTCCTCTGATTAGGACTGAACTGGTATCATTCCAGAAACTAACTTCAACTTTTCTTAAGTATTTTCAAGAAAAGAGGTACAGCATCGTACAGATCCTTATATCAGAGAATTCTCCTTAATATGCAGGCACTATTTATTGCAATTCTACCCAATTTCCTCATCATTCTGATTTTTTAATCTATGATTTGAAACACTAGGAACATTGTCTCAACATTTTTCTCACAGCTGCCTTCACCTCCTTGTTCTTCAGGCTGTAGAAGAGAGGATTCAGCATGGGGGTGATCACACTATACTGCAAGGAACAGATGAACTCTTGAGTGGATGCTGAATTTGGCATGAGATAGCGGAGTAAACCTGAGCCATAAAAGAAGCTCACTGCCGTGAGGTGGGAGGAACAGGTGGAGAAGGCCTTGCTTCTGCCTGCAGTTGAGCTGACGCCCAGGATGGTGAAGAAAATGCAAACATAGGAGAAAAATATCAAGAGGAAATTTCCAAAGAAATGCAGGAGGCTGGAGCAGAGCAAGGCAGTAAAGCTTGCAGACACATCGGAACAAGACAAAGGGTAGAGAGAGGGCAGCTCACAGCTGAAGTGGTGAATATTTTGAGCCTCACAGAAGTCTAAATTGAGAGCTACAAGGATATTGATGAGAGCATCCATAAAAGCCAAGCCCCATGAGCCCCACACCAGCCCCATACACAGCTTTCTGTTCATCATCTGGCCGTACAGCAGAGGAGAACTGATGGCAACATAGCGGTCATAGGCCATGACAGCAAGTAGGCAGGATTCAGTGCCTCCAGTGGCAAACACAGAAGACCTGAGCCATGCAGCCCTCGAATGAGATGGTTTTCTTCTCAGACAGGAGGTTCTCCAACAGCTTGGGGCACAGTGACAGAAGAGTGGCAGAGATCCAGGAAGGACAATTGTCCCAGGAAAAAGTACATGGGGTTGTGGAGCTGGGAATCCACCCTTATCACCAGCAGCAGCATCAGGTTCCCCATAAGGGTCAGGATATAAATAACAAAGAACAGCACAAAGAGCAGAGCCTGGATTTGGGGGTCAGCAGACAGCCCGAGGAGGATGAACTCAGAGACAACACTGTGGTTTCTCATTGCCTTCAGTACTTTCTTTGGAATGCAAGAAAAAAATCAGGTGAAGTCTCTTCTGATGCCTAACAAATACCCAAGTGTTTTAACCCACTCCATTCACAAAGTGTCATGCCTACTCAAAAATGTACGTTCAGCAATTATACTCCAATAAAGTTGTTAAAAAAAATGTACGTTCTGAAATGATAAACTTCCCTAAGTCTCTAGATTTACCGAAACCTGCAATAATCTTTTCTGTGGGATCCCAACACTAGATCAACTCCCTCTCCACCTTTACTGTTCTTTTTTTGATGTCTTAGAGTTTATTTTTTTGTTGTTTTATTATTAAAGTGACTGGAGGATATTTATAAACTGTTGATAATAAACTAGTAGAGAGGGAGAAATTGCAGGAGGAAATTTAAGAGAAAATTGCAGAAATGGTGTCTCTGAGAGCAGTTGGGTCTCAGAGCAGAAGCAGAGCATGGCCAAAGGCAGGAGAGGGTTTACTTCATCAAACATGCATGAAGTCCATAGATCTGATGTTAGGAAGGAAGCATTTCTCAGCTAATGGCTTCTATTTTTTCACTTAATATTTAAATAGGGTCATTAACGGAAAGTGAAGAGGGGTAGTGGCTGGAGATTTGCAGAGTGAGGAGAAAGGGAATTAATTAGAGAGAAAGTAGAAGAGATATCCTAGATGTTATATAATTGATCACAAGAAACTGCTGACCCATATGAGAACACACTGCTCATACTCTCCATGCCCAGCTTGGGTAATCTATTCAGATTCAGCTCTTGTCTGTGCCTTCATGCCATTTGCAAGGATAGACTACCCACTAACTTTCTAAAGTGTGGCCTTCTTTTTCTCTACTCGAAACTGACAATCCAAATTACATCCGAAGATTCAGGATAACGCTTCAACACTACTGACTCCACCATCTCGACCCTTCCTGACCTGCTCTATCCTTTGTGCTCACACTGCGAGACCCACCGCCCAATAGGATTTCGCTCCCAGGTATATCCAAACGACACCAGAATTAGAGCTATCTGAGAAATCAAGTTCACATTACCTGTATTTCTCACCTAGTTGAGCAATATCTAGCACAGAATTAAACAAAACCTTTTTCAAATCCAGTGATCCAGAAGATGACTAAATTTGAACCTCGGTGTGAGAATTCAGAGTTAAGATGGAGTTTGAAAATTCCTGTTGGATATAGACCTCTTCCTTGATTTCTAAAGGAGGAAAATAAAAGGGTAAGTTGTGTATATTATTTCTAAAAGCCTCAATTCTTCCTCTCATGTGGGGATTATAATAATTTTCTATTATTATTACTTTTTTTTCTTTTACTCACCACTGTAGCTCTAGCTACAGCAACCTGGATTCATCCTGAGAATATCACATCATTGGCAGAAGACACAGGAAAATCAAGTCATGAAATACAGAGAAGCACCCATTGTAATTTTGGAGGGCAACAAAAAGAAAGGTCCCCTCCATTTTACTCATCTCTAAATGGAGCCCTACTAACTAGCACTAGAAATTCCTTAAACTTTGGGGAAACTTATTCTCCTATAAATAAAAGCCAAAGAGTGAAAATCTTGCACAGGGCATTTTCATGAAGGACAAACCTAGAAACTGTACACTATCAGGAACCATACTTCCTCACAGGTAGAGGTGTACTGTGCTAGAGTTACTTGAAGCAGTCAAAGAAATAAATAAAATCACTTATTTTTTTTTGCCTAGTGCTGCAATTTCACTGTCCTTGATACTTCATTCATTCAGAGTCGACGCTTCAGATTCCAAATTGAGAATGGAAACAGCTCTGAGAATGCTACCACTATAAGTTTTCAGTTGTTATCATAATTAGGTGGAGTTAGCCGACTAGATCACTTCCAAAGAAAGACGGCCTGAGAGGAGTCCATTTTAGAATGGGACATACAAAAGTACCTAGCATTGTGACTGGCCCAAGGAGTTGCTCCAAAATGTTACTTAACAATTAAAATAAATGCACAAATGAGTGAATGAGTAAGTGAATGGAGAAAACTCAGAAAGAGAATAGTCTAGAGCTTTACTACTAGTAGAGAACAGATCTGATTAGGAACGAGTAACGGATTTAGACATCCTGAGCTTGCATGAAACCAGTTGTGGGAAGGGCACAGGAGAAAAATTCTGCCAACAGGAGAGGTTTGCCCCGATGCAGTGTCTCGTGCCCTCAACTTCCACATACCTATGATTATATAATTATAGGGAATACCTATAATTAAAGGTACAATTAGTTTCTGGACCCCTATATGTTTGGAGGGCTTGGAGAGGGTTATTTTTGAGTCATGAGTTGCCCAAAGTCTATCATTTTCCTGATCTCCTCCCCCCTCTTATAGACAGTTCTCGGGTATTAGCTTCCCCAAGCTTCCAGGTTTCTGGTATAATGTGGGCTTTCACCATTAGAAACAAGGAGTATAGTAAGACATAGGGAAACTCCTGTCTTAATTGTCCCATATGTGAAATGAAAGCTAAAAATAATTAGCTTGGAATGTTGTGAGGACTTAATTTACTAACTGAAGAGAGGTGCTGAAGAATCATTAGATTCTCTTTCCTTCACCTCTAACCCAAGTGTTTAATTTTCCCAAAGGAGGACAAGAAGTAATTTTGAGGAACAGACCAACAGTCTAGGTAACAGAAATGAATACCATGTCAGAGAGACTTGAGGGGGGCACTACCTCAGCCCAGGGGAACAAAGGTAAGATGATAGAACTGCAGGAGAAAGGAGGGGCCTGATGAGGGAAGGGTAAGAAGTGGCGGGAACTGAAGGGAAACGGGGAGCAAAAGAACAGGAAAACAACATCAGAAAACAGAAGGAAAACACTACCAAGTTTCTCTGTTCCTGGTGCAGAATACATCCTGGTTTTCTAAGCTGGTGGGCATGCCTCTGAGTGCAGGAGAAATTCACAAGATAGAAAATGCACCACAATTGTTCCATCGTGTAAACTGACATTGATTTTTCTATTAGACGTTTTGTGCATAAAGACAAATGTATAACCTCAGTCCTTAAAAGCCCCTGCAAATAAAGACTTCAGAAAACTCTTCTGAACTTTGGTAGCATTTTGGTCTTATCCTTTATGACTCCATAAAATGACAAAGAAAAGGAAAACTGAGAACTTCAAATTCCTAACAAGGAATAAAGCAACCTCTTTCATACTTCCCCTAGCATAACTGCACAATCATTTCTTTACATATCTCTATTACCGTTGATACACTGCTACGAGCAGCATCCTAACAAAGGAGGCTCAGGTCTACCAGAAGGCCCTGTGTGTTAAGGTGGCCAATGGGATCGTAAGGTGTAACCTGAAAGCCCAGGCGGCATCTAGGTCCTTCCTGATTGCTGGAAAGCTCAGCCTGAAGTATACTTTGGACTTATTAGCTAAAAACAGTTACTGGATGATCCCTCTGGGAATTACCATTGAAGCTAAGTGACTCATAGCTTACCTTTAGATAGTTTTGCTAATGTTGTCAAGTGTTTTATCATGATACACATTAAAGACATAATTATTATACATGACATTATCACTACTATATGATCAATGGTCATTTAAATTTACCTACATGTTTGACTTTTTTTTTTTTGCTCAATTTTTTCTATACCTAGAATTGAAAGTTCAATACCTGAAAATAGATTTCAATGGATAAGTTTAACACAAATTAGACAAAGCTGAAGAGGTGACTCAGAAGATAAGCCAGAAGAAAATAAGAACTTCCATCTGTGGGCATTTTCCTTCTCCTTGAAGAACTCCTTTTAATTTTCCCTTTAGTGCAAGTCTTCTAGGTGATGTATTTATTTCACCTTCATTCTTAAAGGATGTTTTACTGGGCACAGAATCCTAATGGGGGAGGGCTGTTTTTTTTTTAATCCAGTACTTTTAAGATACTACCTCATTGTCTTCTGTCTTCTTGTTAGTCTAATGTTTCTCTTGAGAAGTCAGTTGTTGGTCTAATTGTACTTCTTTGGAGCTAACTTGTCTTTCCTTTCCCTCTTGCCACTCTTAATATTTTCTGTTTTGATTTTCAGTAATTGTATTATGATGGGACAAATTGTGACTTTCTTTTAATTTATCATACTTGGGGTATATTTATAGAATTCCTAGCATTTATAGTTGATATAATTTTTCAGTTTGGAATATTTTCGTTCGTTGTCTTACATATTGCCCTATTTTCTTAGGTATTGCCTAATTCTCCCTCTTCTTTAGAACTCCATGTAAATGTATGCTATCCTTCTGTATCTATGCATTATGTATCTCATACTCTTTTCTTTATTCTTTCTGTGCCTTACTGTATATATTTTCTTCTTGCCTATCCTATAAGTTATTAGTATACTCCTCAACACTAAGTTCCTTTAAACTTATCCATTAAGATCTTATTCAGCCATTGAGTTTTTCTTTCTCAAGATTTTCACTAAGATTATTTATAGTTTCCAGAAATATTATGCCAAAATTCTCAATCTTTTCTTTAATCTCTATAAATATTTATTTTAAAGTTAAGCATCTGGATCTGCTTCCACTGTCTCTAGTTTCTGTCTCCCCATATTCTTGTTAAATTTTTTCTATTGAGAATAGGATATTATTATGAAAAATTATGGAGATAACTTAAGGCTCTGAATTATATTCTCTTCCTCCAGAGAAAATTTTTACTTGCTTCTGTCAGACAACCATGGGCATCAGCAATACTGGATGACCCTCATGTAATTTGGGGACTGAAATGAAGCTGGGCTCCAACCCACACAAAGCTTCTCTGCTTCCAATCCACCTTTACTTCAGGGTATCGCCCTTTAAGGTTCCAACCCACCCTTGTGGTCCCTGAATTCCATTTTCCCCACTAACTTTAGGAAACTGTCAAAATAACTTTTCACATTTTCAACCACCTCTTCAAGATGCCCTTACAGGAAAAAGAGACCCCTGAATGCAAAGCTTGCTTCTCTGGGTTTTCTTCTTCTTTGGGATGACAGCTCCATAATTACTCACTGCCTCCTTAGCTTTCA